TCCTTCCTTCCATTCATCTCCTGTTTTATTCACTATATTATAGTACAATCTTCTCATCATTTTTTGAAGTTTAAATTGTCTCTTTATAATAATTTTTAAATAAGGATGTTATTCTGTTGTATTCTTTGTATCACAGTAAGAATAAAATCATGCTTTTGGGTATTTTTTAAGTTCCCATTTATCCTCTCCTTAATCATTTCTCTCAAATCTTAATTTGAGAGATTAATAAACTTAGCTCAAAGACTTGGCCGGGGAATGAATGCACTTTTCTTGTGTAGCATTTGCACAACTGAAATTGAGGGTCATCTGCTTTCTTTCCTATTTGTAAAGATTTTTCTGGGAAAACAAAGTTCTTATTAAAAGAGGATATCCATTAGAATATGTATACAGAAGACACCAAATTATTATCTGTCCTTAAAAACCATCCATATCAAGGATTACCTGAGCCCAAGAGTTTGAGACCAGTCTGGGCGATATGGCAACATCCCATTTCTTTTTTTTGAGGCAGAGTTTTGCCTTCATTGTCCAGGCTGGAGTGCAATGGTGGGATCTCGGCTCACTGCAACCTCCGCCTCCTGGGTTCAAGCGATTCTCCTGCCTCAGCCTCTCTAGTAGCTGGAATTACAGGCGCCCGCCACCACGCCCAGCTAATTTTTGTAATTTTAGTAGAGACGGGGTTTCACTTTGTTGGTCAGACTGGTCTCAAACTCCTGACCTCAGGTGATCCACTTGCTTTGGCCTCCCAAATTGCTGAGATGGCAACATTCCATTTCTACAAAAATTTTAAAAATTAGCCAAGTGTGATGGCATGCACCAGTGGTTCCAGCTACTCAAGAGACTGAGGTGGAAGGATCTCTTGAGCTTGTTAGGCCAAGGTTTCAAACCCTGATTGCAATACTGCACTCCAGCCTGAGTGACAGAGCAAGACCCTTATCTCAAAAGAAAAAAAAAAATCCGTATCAATGCTGAATGGATCTATGTGTTATTTTTGTCTTACTCAACTTTATTCTCAGATTTTGTTGATATGCAGAACCATTTTTTTATATATAGCAAAATTGTAAACTAATTGGTTTAGTTTATTTTTATTTTTGACACAAATTGGTCTTTTTTTTTTGAGACGGAGTTTCACTCTTGTTACCCAGGCTGGAGTGCAATGGCGCTATCTCGGCTCACTGCAACCTCCGCCTCCTGGGTTCAGGCAATTCTCCTGCGTCAGCCTCCTGAGTAGCTGGGATTACAGGCACACGCCACCATGCCCAGCTAATGTTTTTGTATTTTTAGTAGAGACGGGGTTTCACCATGTTGACCAGGATGGTCTCGATCTCCTGACCTCGTGATCCACCCGCCTCGGCCTCCCAAAGTGCTGGGATTACAGGCTTGAGCCACCGCGCCTGTCCTACAAATTGGTCGTCTTATTGGAGATGTGGTTGCTTACTTGCTCCATTAATATAAAACGACGGCACTTTAATGGCCTGACAAAGTGAACACCAAAATAGCATCTGCACACACTTAGCAGTTCTTTTTTTTTAATTAATAAATTTTTATCCAACTGTAAAGAAAAGCAGTTAATTCTAAATGATGTTGATTTGATGCAAGAAGTGACCTGTAGGGAAAGGACATCATAAAATTGTAATTGTTGCCTTGAAAGCCTGAGACTCTCTTTTGGGCTAAGGTTCATTGTGCAGATACATTGATTGTGCATTATTGTTGCCTGGTTAACAGAAGCTGGAAGGATGTAGTTTATTGCTTGAAAAACAAAGTATTTGTAACAGAGCTTAAGTCAACAGTTTAGTCATGAGAAATGATGTTTTTATACTAAATATAAATAGTTCATTTATTTTGTTTTTTGGGAGGATTTATTTTTTTGAGACAGAGTCTTGCTCTGTTGCTTAGGCTGGAATGCAGTGGCACAATCTTGGCTCACTGAAACCTCCGCCTACTGGGTTCAAGCAATTCTCTAGCCTCATCCTCTTGAGTAGCTGGGATTACACATGCATACCACCACACCTGGCTATAAGTTTTTTAAAAAAGAGTGGGGTCTTACTGTGTTGCCCCAGCTGGCCAAGTCTGATTCACTTTTCTCCATACTAGCGACTCACCCTGAGAATCATGATCCTTTAGTAGGTAATGCAACCAGTTTCATGAGATGTGATGATTGTTTATTGAAAAACGAAATAAAATACAAATATTAGAATAAATCATAAGCTATAAGGTAAATACTGTTTTGTTAAACTTTCTATATGTGTGTTTTTATGTACTATGTTGTAATATTATGTATTTTTTTACTTTGGGTGCTAGTAAAAAAGTTTGAAATCCAGAGTTCCATACCATTTTTATTACCTCATGCACAGCCTAATTTTTTCAAAGTATTTTTACTTTCTGTTACTGTATTAGCAAATAGCTTGTTTTAGTAGTATTGGACTAGGGTAATACAGGAGGAAAACAGTTAATTTATTAAAATTCTTAGTAAGAAGTGCTAACATACCTGTAATCCCAGCACTTTGGGAGGCCGAGGCGGGTGAATCACGAAGTCAAGAGATCGAGACCATCCTGGTCAACAAGGTGAAACCCCGTCTCTACCAAAAATACAAAAATTAGCTGGGCATGATGGTGCGTGCCTGTAGTCCCAGCTACTCGGGAGGCTGAGGCAGGAGAATTGCTTGAACCCAGGAGGCGGAGGTTGCGGTGAGCCGAGATCGCGCCATTGCACTCCAGCCTGGNAAAAAAAAAAAAAAAAAAAAAAAAAAAAAAAAGAAGTGCTAACATAAAAAATATTGAAAGTACTAAATGTTGACAATGATGTGGCACATCTAGAACACTTATGCAGCACTGGTGGAGGTGAAAATTAGTACAGCCATTATGGAAAACTATTTGGCAGTATCTTCTTTTTTTGAGGCACGGTCTTACTCTGTCACCAAGGTTCTAGTGCAGTGGTGTGATCATGGTTCACTGCAGCCTCCACCTCCTGACCTCAAAGGACCCTCCTACCTTAGCCTCCTGGGTAGCTGGGACTATAGGCGTGTGCCACCAGACCCAGCTGATTTTTATGTTTTTTGGTAGAGACAGGTTTCCACCATTTGCCCAGGCCAGTCTTGAACTCCTGTGGTCAAGTGATCCTCCTGCTTTGGCCTCCCAAAGTACTGGGATTGTAGGGATGAGCTACTGTGCCCAACTGGCAGTATCTTCTCAAGCTGAAGCATGTCTTATTACCTAGCAATTCTACTTCTACCTCAATACCTCAATTCTACTTCAATACTATATATCCAACAAAAATGTGAACATGTATACCAAAAGCCACATATAAGAATAATCACAGTAGCATTATTCAAAATAGCCAAAGACTGGAAATAACTTAAATATTCATCAACAGAAAGGCTAAATAGATATTTGTGTATTTACAAATGAATACTGTATAAGTAACAAGAATAAATGAACCATTGCTATCTGCCATACCATGCATAAATCTTAAAAACATAATATTGGGGGCCGCGGTGGCTCATGCCAGTTGTCCTGGTGCTTGAGGAGGCGAGGCTATGTGTTTGAGGCCAACCAATCTGGGCAACATAAGAACCTCTCATTCATTAAAAAACAAAAACATAATATTAAACCACAGAAACCAGATATTTGAGTTCAACAAAAATAAACAAATGAACCTATGTGTTAGAAGTCTGGATAATAGCTATTTTTGGTGGTGGTGTGGTGATGTCGTTGCTGGGAGGAGGAATGAGGGATGTTTCTGGAGTGTTGGTTATATACCATTTAATCTGGGTGCTTGTTATATATGTGTATTTATGAAAAATGTTGAGCTATACACAAGATTTTTGCATATTTCTGTGGATATTAAAAGTTTTAAAAATTTATACATTTTTGTCTCATTTTAAAATTTGAAAGCAAATAAAATGCAATTCACTGGTATTAAAAGTTTTAAAAATGGCTGGATGGACGCGGTGGCTCACGCCTATAATCCCAGTGCTTTGAGAGGCTGAGGTGGGCGGATCACGAGGTTAAGAGTTCGAGACCAGGCCGGGCGCAGTGGCTCAAGCCTGTAATCCCAGCACTTTGGGAGGCCGAGGCGGGTGGATCACGAGGTCAAAAGATCGAGACCATCCAGGTCAACACGGTGAAACCCCGTCTCTACTAAAAATACAAAACATTAGCTGGGCATGGTGGCGCGTGCCTGTAATCCCAGCTACTCAGGAGGCTGAGGCA